GAAGGGGCGCCTCCTGCCCCCTTCCCTCTCTGGCATGGGTAAAGCTCACTTTCCCCACCGCTGGGTCGGAGGCTGAGTGGGGGCGGGGGGGTCGTGCCCACTGGCACTGAAGGCTGTGCGAGGAGGCTCGCTGATGGCGGGCAGAGGGCACCCCCGAGGCCTGCTCCAGGGAACTCAGGCCCGCTCACTGCCAGTATACTGGGGAACACCAGAAATCTCATAAGAAAATAAGTAAGGTTCTGAGGTGCTCTTTTGTCCCGCGGACATGGCGAGTGCCGCCCCTCCCCCCAGCTTGTAGGGTCTCATAACTTCAGGTTCTCCCCCTTATGCCTCTCTGCTGGGTGATATAAGCAGAGAGGCACCCCCACCCCATCCATGTGCTCTAGTCCTTTTCTGGGGGAGCTCATGTCACTGGAGCCACAGGAAGGAAGCACCTCTCACGCTGCCAGTTTCCATGGTCGGAGAAATCTTGCAGGCATCTCTGCTGTGGGAATCAGCTTTCCTTTGTGGCTTTTTGAAAGCATCTGTTCTGGAGGACTCTTAAAAGGGGACATAGGCGCTTCCTGGAGCTGTGCTATACAGCACTGTCAGTAGAGCTTCCTGAAGCAGAGGAGGAGAAGGAAGAGGAATTAAACCTGCCTGGCGAACTTCATTCTCTGAGAACCTGCTGCAGGTCCCCATTCCATCAAAAATCTGCTGTATTGTGAAATTAGGCTTAAGATGTTGTACGTTTCTAGCTAATTATGGCTTATTTAACAAATCATAGTTAAAAAGCATACAGTAATAAGGTGTATGCGATAATGCAGTAATAGGCGATTTCTCTGCTTTCTCTCACTTGTACTTATGAGTACTGTGTTCTTCCAACTAGGAAACAAGTGTCAAGGAATCAAGATCTGATTGCCCCCTAGACAAAGAAGAACTAGGAAGAAGTTCATGGTCATTTCTACACACGATGGCAGCGTTTTATCCTGACCGGCCCAGTAAAATCCAGCAGCAAGAAATGATACAGTTTATCCAATTATTTTCTAAAGTTTTTCCTTGTGATGAATGTGGAGAAGATTTCAGAAATAGGTGAGGAGGTTTTTAGAATGCCTGATGTTTATGTGTCCTTTGCCTTAAAGGAATTAATTTTCTGCTGTGAGGTGATTTAACTTTAGCATCATAGAAACTATTTCTGTGACTTGTTTGTACTATGTAAATTAAGCAGGCTTGTATAAGGTCTTTTTATTTTGTATAATTATGCCGTACTTACTCTTTGACAGTGAACTATCAAATAAAGAAGAAAAGGTGAGCCTGCCACTACTACCTATTTTTAGCTAATAAACTGCTCATGTGCTTAATGTTTTGTTTCATAGAAACATTTACATTAAGCCCAAATTAATGTCAGTAGCCCCCAATCTTGAGTCTAGCTGTGCAAGACCCAGATAACAAATTTCCCCAGTTTATTGGTATTGCCCCAATACATTAAAGTGTATCCTTGGGTTTGTAATAGTGTTGCAGACATACCTGCATATGGTAGAAAGAAATCCATGATAGGGAGTAAACTCATTTCACAGGTGTTACAGCTGTCTGTTTCCAACTAGGAACTTTGTAATGAAGTGGGGTGGAATGCAAAATAAGCAAAGCGGAATCTGACTGGATTTGGTTTCCTTTGACACACAGAATACGAAAAAATCAGCCCGATGCCAGCAACAGACGTAATCTGACGCAGTGGTTTTGCCGGATTCATAATGAGGTAAATAAGAAGCTGGGGAAGCCTGAATTTGACTGCTCTCTTGTAGACCAGCGATGGCGAGATGGATGGAAGGATGGATCCTGTGATTAGATCTGCTGGATATTTTTCCAACTTGATTAAAAAAATCAACAAAAGACCACAAAATCAATGCTATTATAGATCTTTCCTAGAGACAAAATTGTGCATTTGCATTAATGGACATGATGGAAACAGGCAGAAGGGTTTCTCTGTTTCTGGTTTTGAAAACTGAGTATTGAATGCATCTCTGTAATAATTTTTATATGAAGCCTCTACCTGTTGATTGTGCTGTTCTCCTGACCACTTGAATTATTTCAAATACCAGCAAATGCTGCCTTCAAAAATCTAGACGATGCTTGAAGAAACCATTCTGAACATGAAGACATTGTGCTTACTCAGCTCAGTGCTGACTTAGTCCCTGGAAGTCTGTAATATTCCATCTGCAACTATTTATAGCCTTCCTCTGACCCTAACATCATTTTCCTTCATTTTGTTGCTTGCATCTTTGTGTTCAACAGATTTTTCCCCTCTCCTTAAAATCTAGAATATTCAATTCTATTTTTTTAAAAGTGCTACAGTATAAATTATTAAAAAAACTATGCCTGCTTACATTTCTGCAGCATATACACAGTAGGAAAAGGTCTTGTTTTAAGCTGTGAGCAATGGGTATTTTCTTTCCATTTTTCTCTCTGGCCAGACTTAGCAAAAGAGGACAATCCAGATTAGATTACTTTCGATTAATGAAGTAAGCACATGGAAATCATGAGGGGGGGGGATCATGTTATATATCAAAATACACAGCTCTTAAGAACGGGGGTCTGTGAAGGTTATGTTTGCTCTACATAATGGGAAATTGCTGAGTTTCCATTTCAAGTGGAAGTGTTCTTTTTACCTATCCGAACTTTGTTGTGTCCAAAGTCTCATGACCTGGAAGTAGGAAATAAATGTGTTCTGAGATACCGCCTTGAAGGTGAATCATGTATTGTGGCATGATGTCCTGAGCCAGGCTGACTACAATAAACTGTCAACAGTTGCCTTATGAGGAAAGCAGAAGTTTGAAGTGAAGAGAGATGAAGAAAGGGCACAAACTCTCCCTTACAGCTACAGAAAACTTTCAAGTTGTATGTTATACCATAGCATGGAAGGTCACAAATGACATTCAGATATTGTGCATTAAAGAGAGAAATATGGGAAGCTATTGGCTGTTTAGAGGTAACGATGACTGTTTATATACCATCAGCTGCTTCTGAGGAGAAATGTTTGGTTTGTAAGAATGTAGTTTCCTGTTTTATCTGAATATGGGAGACTTTGGCTTGAACATACAATATTTAACAGAAAAGTTAACTGTGAATTATCAAACCTTGTTAACTATAGTTATAGATTGATGAATTCATCTCTGTGTTGGCTATCCTTTTCATGACCTATTAAATATATAGCTTTTGGAGATCTTACTAGGAAAAGATGTGTTAACATGAATATTTTCATTACATTCACTTTTCAGAGGTGGGCTAAGATCCAGTTTTATTTACGCAAGCAAAGCAGGTCCCATTAATTAACTCAGAGTGAATACACATGCAACTCTGAAAAGCACACTGAAGAAATGCTCACCCACGCTTTTTTAAAAAAACAGGTCTAAGGTCTTAGTAGGGTATATGGCTGCCATGTTCTCAGAAAAAAATAATGCACTGTTAAACCCACTTGTTACTGACTTATAAACAGAATGCTTCCAGATACGAACAGAGCTGCAGGCACCAAGCTGTCTGCCTTTCTTCCTCTATTTACTGTGATTCAGTATCTGGAAACTTACATCAGAGGAATAAAAACGCTGGTGACGAAATGGCATCTGGTCCTTGTCAGAGAGCGTCTTTCCTTAGAAGCATTTAAAAGTACAGCCATGCCCTGTGGCCAAGGATTTGGCAAGCACTACACAGCTCTACTACTAAAGTCAAATGGATTTTTGATTAAGGAAAAGTCTAACTTTTTGCATCTAAGATAATAAAAATCAAATTTCTGTTTAAAAATGTTTAGTGTGCCTTTTGTTGGTCAAAAACCTTAATTATTTGAATGCAATTTTAAGTGTTTCTCAGAATTTTATGTCTGCTGACCAAATAATAAAAGTAAATATTCATTTGCTTTTCTCTCCATTTTTTAAAAAGTAAACATTTCCCCAGTATCATACAATCCTTGGAGTCAGGATATTATCTCTTAACGTCAGATAATATTTATCATTCAAGGATGATTGATGTACTGAGTTGAAAAGAAGCTTGCAAGGAATACCAAGCAATAGGATAGACTGGGTTTGAAAGAAAACATCCCAGAAGATGACAGTAGCAAACCACTTCTGTACTGTTGGCAGGAAAGCGTGGATGCCTCCCTCAAGTCCCCAGGAATTGCCTTAACCTGAAGGAGAGCGACTTGCAAAAAATAGTTTTGCCAAATTGTCCCTGTGCTTCAATAAACTTGGTGAAAGAATCAGATTGACACAGGTTGCAATGTATTAAGCCTGTTTCTATCGATTGTTAAAACTTGAGGGGTGAGATTTGTTCAGGCACTGCCTAAGCCTTGCAACTTTTAGCCATACATTAATCAGCAGCACTCTGTATCGGATGCAAGACACTGAAAATCTGTACTGAGAATATTTAAACTACTCAGAATTCTTTGGGATCAGTCAGCATGAATGAGCTGGTGATGTGAAGAATTTGGCATTTTGCACCTGAACCATTATATACTAGTGGTTATAACACAGTGTTATCCATAGCATAAGGAATTCATGATCTATTCACTCTCCCCAGTTTAAGGGCAATGTATCCGTTTCCCAAAATAACCTGTCCTGCTAAGACATTAATTGTCACCTGGGTCAACAAGAGACAGGATGTTCCCCAGAGAGACAAATCTGAGCGTTGCATTTTAGTTTGTGCTCAATTCTCCCTTTATCCCAGGCAGAAAAGGCAGGGGTGCATTCCACTTACAATCACTAGCCCTTACCATGGCGATGTGCCTGCAGTACCCCTTGGGAAATCTGATGTTCAAGTCCCACTGTAATGCAAAAGCCACTAGGGCCACTTGCGTGTGTGTGAGTGAGAGAAAGAAAGGAGTGTAGGAATTTTGCTAAAGAAAAAGAAGAGGTCAACTTCAGCACACTGACAAAAAGCAAACCCAGGGATGGTTTGAACCCCGTCCCTGAGAAATTGAAAGTTGCTTCTCATGGCAATGCCCATCTTTGGGAAGTTTTGATAGGACAGCAGTTTTGGTTTTGCAAAGAAAAAGAATGGAAATGTATTGGAAATGGAAATGGAAATGAATTGGAAATTTGATTCTCTGGCTCAACTCTGGACAACCTAATCTTCCAGTTGCTGGACTACAACTCCCAGCAATCCTCGCCATGATCCATGGTGGCTGGCCTTGCTAGAGCCACAGGTCGTCAGTCCAACAGAAGAAAGTCCTGGAGGAAGAATGACTTGGTCCCTCAGAAGCCAAGAAATGGCAAAGATTGCTCCCTTTTCCTGGCTTTATCCTCTGAACCCAGAGGTCTTGCCATGCACAGGAGTTCTGGAAGTTACAGTAGTGTGGAAAAGTCTGCTTCTGTCTTCGGCAGAGTCAAAAAGGCACCTTCGCAAAAGATATTGAACCAGTTTGCAGATTATCACCTCCAAGCATTACCCATCAATGCTTCATTAATAATGGAACCCATTAATTACAGTTGCAGAAAACAATCTACACCCTGTGCAGTCAGCCAGCCTGCAAGTTCATCAATCAGACTTGAGCCTTAAAGGCAGGTTATAGAGCAAACCATGTAAAACTGTATCGTTGGACATGAAAGAATGCCGTAAGAATAGTGACAGCATCACTATAATGTGGCGAGGTAGTGTCAACAAAAAACTAGGTGGTCTTGACATCAAATGTAACAAGACCAACCTTAACTGAACTAGAAAGGAACTCCATTAGTGGAGTACTTGGATTAAGAACTTCCTTAAACAAATCTCTGGTAAACACGGCACCATTAAGAAGCAAGTATGGGTCTGCAGTGTAGGGGAAAAGGCTACAGAGGAACACTGGATACAGTAGAAATGTTTCCTTGCCCTTTCAAAAGTCTTTCGATCTAATCCCTCGCCAAACATTCCTGAGCAAATTCTGCAGGCCAAGAATAGAATGATAGAATATGAGGCCTTGGAGATCAGGTTGAGAAACATTGCATCAGGATATCTTTTTGCTAACCTTCAACCAAAGTCTGCTTCTTTGTCTTTAAAACCTACTGTCCTGCCTTCTGGAGCAAAGCTGAACAACGCTGGCCCACTTTCCACATGCCCAGTCTTGAAGGCAATTGGCGTGCCTGTCCACAGTCTCCTCTGGGCTAAACATCTCCAACCGTTTTTCCTAAGTGTTCCCTTCCAGGCCTTTCTTCTTGACTGCTCTTGTCAGGATATTCTCCAGTCTGCCAATGGGCTTCCTAAAATGGGATGCCAGAACTGGATGAATATTCCAGGTGGAGTCTGGCCAGTGCAAATTAAAGAGGAACTGTCAGTCCTTTGAGGCAGGTCAGTTCAGGAAACCACAAGGACTATGGAAGTCTACTTGATTGTTATAGGGTATAATAACAGCATGCCAGAGTTTTCCTCTGTCCCCTCTTATACCGTATAGAATCAGGGTGGTATTAACTCTTTCTTATGCTCCCTCCTAAGATGCTGGGCTGAGATCTCAGGATAAAAGGGAGCCTCCGAGTGCAGGGTTTTCAGTTTCAGCAATCTATGGAACACTGTATGCTTCTTCTCAATAAAGAAATCCTTACTGGAACAAACTGGTCTCCAGAGGATTTACTGGGATTGGGAATTGAGCCTTGCAGACTCTGACAGGCTGACACATTGCTTACTGCCTCTTTTATCTCTTGACAGCTCTTGCATACTTTCTCCAAGGTTATACAAATTAAGAGAAAAGGCATCTCTTGATGTTGACACTATGCTGCTTTTGATACAGCCAGGCATCACATTTGCTTTGTTTGCAGCTGCATCACTCTGTTGGCTCATATTCAAGTTGTGATCCATTAAGATACCCAGATCCATTTTACATGTATTGGGTATAGTCTCCCCCATCTTACACTTGTGCCCTCAATTTTTCCTACCCAAATACTGTATAGGATTTTTCATTTGTTCCTGTTGAAATATATCTGGCCATTATAATATATTCTGCCCATTGTACCAGCTTGTCAAGATCCTCCTCTAAGTGTTTGCTATCCCTCTTACCTTTCTGTCATTTGCCAGTTTGATAATTATACTTTCTAATCCCTTATCTAAATCTTTTATACGTATATGGCACAGCAGAGGGCCTGGAAAAGGTGCACCATTCAACACTTCCTTCCAGCTTGACATGGAGCCATTGACATACAGTACACTCAGTAGGTGTGATTGTTCAACCAGCTTCCCAGGTGGCCTGGACTAACCAGGAGGGGCATGGATCTCATGCACAGATGGTTGTATTTACAGACCCAAGGACACTGTTCACTTCCTCATGCCCAACAGGATCAAACTGTTCCCAGATAACAAGGCAAGTCCACTCCCCAGGCATCTCCCAAGGACCTGCACCACACTTGGTCTCCAACTGGGAACGAATCCGAGTGATTTTATCCGCCAGGTGTTCAGCAAATTCTTCTGCGCAGCCATGAAGGTAAACTTCCAAACCCCCCTTACCCAGGAGGGTCTGGATAACCTTAAACAGGGCCTCCGGGTGGCATTCTGTGGACACAACAAGAGCAGAGAAATATTGGCATTTCACTACTCTTATCGCCATGAGGTAGGCCTTAATAGCGGCTCTAACTCGTGCCCGGTCAGATTCGTCCCTCGCTTCCTCCAGCAGCGCTCTAAATGTCTCTTGATCCTTTTCAATTCCCACAACTCCTCCGTAAACCACGGAGAGTGACGGGAATGATGGGCCAAGGGAGGTCGCACGGTCACGATCCTATCTGAGGCCTCAGCCGCTTTCCTATTCTAGGCAGCAGCCAACGTCTCAGCAGGACCGTGCAGCAGAGCCCCAGGAATAACCCCCGGTTCCCTCTGGAACCCCACTGGGTCCATCAGTGGCCGGGGGCGACCAGTGGAGTCTTCTGCCTCCCTGCAGAGGGGAGCAGCGTACGAGAACCTCAAGGGCACTAGGGCGTGATCTCACCATGGCAGAGGGGACAAAGCTACCTCCCACCTCCGGTCACATTGCCATTGCTCCAACAAGAAAATCATGTCTGGCGTATGGCCACTGTTTCAAGTTGAGCCACGAATGACCTGAGATAGGCCCATGGCTGCCATGGTAGCCATGAACTCCCAAGCTGCTTCTGATGCAAGCGGAAGTCCCCAAGACCATGAGCCTGGGGAACTCCACAGCCAACCCTGAGATGGCCTCCAGCAGCTCAGGCAGTGTCAGATTCAGCCCAAAGAACCCCACGAGACAGTACAGGTCTAGTTCAATAGCTTTTATTAGCTTTCAACCACAAGACAGAATCCTGCCAGACTGAATCTAAACT